AGGTATCCATGCTAACTGGAAAATACTCTTGGGCGGTAATGTCATCTATGGGAAGAAGTGATGAATGATGAATTGTGGTAGCATTTTGTTGTAAACTAGGATTATCATTGTATGTGATAAGATTACCGGTGTCGAGATTAAGCAGAACAAAAGTTTCAATTTGAGCTGAAGCAATGGAAAGTAGAAGATTGAACCAAATGATGAACATAGTGTGAAACATGAAATTTTGTGAAGTGACAGAATTACTCAAATGGATGCTTTTTATTTCAGATTAGTTTGAATTAAATGGTCAAAGATTTAAATAGTTTTTAATCTTTATTTAATCTTTAATCTTTATTTAAATAGTTTTAATTTTTTTCTATTCATGCTTTCCGCTTTTCCAACTGATGTATAGCAATAACGTAAAAGTGAATTTGAAATTCCATCATTTAAGTAATACCTGTAGAATTTGACTGATATTATAATACTTCAAATTTGTTAATTAATTATTTGCTAATTAAGAATATGCTCATTTTTAAGCATTTAATTTGTGTATTTAATAAAGTTCCATGTATAAATAAATCTAAAGATATTAATCACTGAATTGATTAAACTTTATTAGATTGAAATATGACTTGAAATACTTCAATCTTGCTAATTTCTACCAATTAATTGATCTTTGATCTTTTGTTAATTAATTATTGCTTCCTGACATAGATTTATAGTTAGCTATTCTTGTTTGCTATTGTAAAAGAGAATAGCAATGTAAGCCGAAATGTTTGAATTTAAATTTTCAAAAGTTAGAATAGCACAAAGGATGTATGAAGGACTTGCATAATTGCAAATAATTTTCAATGTTTGATTTACAATTTTAGTGATGTTATTAATTGACAATTACAAATTTATTGCTTGAAATTTATTTTCATCATATATTAATTAAAATCATACGTTGTGCATTAATACTATAATACATGGAGTACTGACTTCTACTTATTGCAACATTTATTTTCAAGAATAAATTTAGTAAATTTGACAAAAAAAAAAAACTGTCAAATCTGTGAGACATCTATCTGTTTTTTTTGTCGAAAACAACCAAGATAATATATTAAGTAAATATTATTAATATAAGGAGAATGAGGATTAGTACAATTCTAATAAATAAATAAATAAATGACAGTAACAACATTAATAAATTCATACAATAATTTGTTTGCTTTCCTTTCCTAATTTTCGTTTATCAATATCTTCTTTATTTGATAAACCTTTTTTTCTTCCGTGTTTTTAGTAATATATTTGTAAAATATTGATGTTTTTTTTTTTAGTAATATTTTTTTTTATTTGATAATTCTTTTTTCTTTTAGTAATGTATTGAGTGAGAAAAAAATTTTATTCAAATATTTCGCAGTTGTCAATGCTACTGGATTCGTATTAAATGAAGATTTGATGATTTGTCACAATCAAATCAACAATGGGTTTGAATGAAATAATTCAAAGCATTTCACTAGTTAAATAAATACATCTCTAAAATGCATACTTCTGAATTAAAAAATTGTGAGTCAAATATTTTGAAATATTTCGAATATTTGAGATATAATTGAATTTCAGACTAAAAAAAAATTCGTATATTTTTTTATTGAATTTATGAAATTCCATTACTGCTGTCACTTAACTGCAAACAAACAAACAAACAAAAAAAAAAAATCGATTGATGTGAACCAGCACATTACATGCATGTTGCATACTTTTTTATCTGTGAAAAAAATGAATGATGTATGAACAGAGAAATTTTTATTTTCTTTTGTTTTCATGTTTAAACCTTCAGAATTGTAATCTGGCAGCAAACTTTTAATTTAACAATTCGAAAGTGTACCGAACTTAAAATATTCATCCCTTCTTAACGTACGTACGTGATATAAATTAAATGGTATAAACAACTGCGTCGAAGAAATCTAAAATGATAAAGTAAATCAATCCGATATATGCAGTTACGTACGCTTCTCGTAGAATTAAACTGCCGAATCACTTTGTGATAGTTTAAAAGGTACGTTTTGTGTCAGTTTACAGCAGATTATATATGGAAGGTAAAGTATTACGATATGAACTGTGTTTAATAATACGGTGAGTTCTCACGTTTGAAACATGCGTAAAGATTAATCGTACGTTACAATGATGGTGAGATTTCTCATTCCTCAATAAAACCAAACAAAGAAGATCGTGCAAAATTTCATACAACATCTCTTACTAGTATTTTCAACTCCCATATAGTAATTTAGAGTTCCACGATATAAAAATCCGTGAAACGCGTGAATTCGCTTTTTCTACGTTTACTTACCTTTTCTACATTTACTTACCCGACACGAAACCTACACGTACCGTAACTCAAATCAAAGAAACGCTCTAACTTGGACCAAGTTTTGACACATGTCGAGTTGTAACTCTGACTGTCTCGCAATGACAATTTCTGTCTCTATTATTTCCAAGAAAGCTTTGGTATTTGTGTATTTATTGTGAAGGACTGTTCGTGAAGAGCGATTGCAAAGTGCCAGGAAAATCGCGACAAGCAAATTAAATCCGGTCAAATTACGAGTGCAGTATACGGAGCCATTTGTCATGTGAGAGACCTGGTTTAGATAATAATTTTTACCGTTATGAGATCCGGTTTAGTGGAAGTAAAAATTTCAGGTTATTTCTGTTAATTTGTTAGCATTTCTTAATTGATTGTATTTTTTTTCATCTGTAACTGATTTCAATCAATTGTTATCAGACGAATTTAGTGTAAAATTGAATAGTTAGAATGATAGAAATTTGTTATTGGCTAACATTTTACTGGAAGGCATTGACCTCTGTGTACTGCAAATTAATTAATTAAATTTGACAATCATTGTTTTTCTCTACTAATTGTTCTTTCTAATTTCATAATTTTCTGTCGCATCTGTTTCGTTATTCGTTGCCCACTGTAAATATTTTGTATTTTTTTTTAATTTCTTATTATTATTAATCTTCCTGGATGTATCAGTTCTCTTTAAATATTTCTGACATTTTTTTCTTTACATTCACTGTATTCAAGTACCAGTCATGTAGCACTAATCAGTTCTGTTTCAAATTTCAGAAATGATATTTGTTACCAAGTTAAATTTTACATGTTTAGTAAGTTCTCTATGAATTTCAAAAATGGTACTTAGTGGAATCTTAGTTAATATTGAGTAGAAATAAGAACAGTAAAAGTAATTATCAGGAATCAGAATTGAATGGTAGTGAAATTTTACTTGAAGAATTCATTTAACGATAAATTGTCGAAATTTAATAGATTAGGTAGAGATAATTGTAATGTAGTGAAGCGTTTGTTGTTAAATTCATATATGTTGAATAGATTAATATTCTACTAAAATTTGATATTTAATCGGTATTTCTTAATATTGCAGGAATTTTAATGAAAATTAAACAACGAAAAGAATTAATTAGAATTGATATAAAAAGTGCTTCCAATGTCTATTATCCAAAAAGCATATGATAGCTATGAAGATGAGGACTATCGACGTAACGCTGAATATCCGCGACAGTGTGATTTATGCACTCGAGATGTAAAGAAACTTTCTAATCGTTTCGAATTTGCTCAACATTTGCGTGCTGTACATTGTACCAAGGAAGGTGGATCTTTTATTTGTCGGTAAGGATTTTCGTTTTTATTTTTCCGGAAATCAAGATTTAAATGAATATTTGGTTTTTCAGTTATATGCATTTTGAATGTTTGTTTATATCAGACACAACAATAGATATCGAAATTAAAGTTGTCAAATCATTCCATCTATGCATTCATTTGCTTAAGTTTAACCGAACTAATCGATATTCATTCGATGTGCCTTTATTTTAACATAATAATTGAATCATGAATTAATTGATATGCTTTCAGTTATGGACCAAATGGAGTTTGTCAAACATTACCCTTGGAAGGTGTTTCTGATCGTGATTATGAAGCTCATATCCGGAAATGTCATGCTAGTTTTGGTAAGTTATTTTATCGTTCTTGCTTGGGAATCAGTTCTTCTTTTATTAACTTAAGATTTTAACACTAGTTACATCGTTTATTACTTATTAAAGAAGTGATACACTTAAAGTCGTTTGTATAATTTGCATTGTTTAAAATTGTGTAGTATGATATGCTCTAGGTAATTATGTATTCTTTTCCCTGTAACTTAATTAAAGGTTGATCTCATTGGGAGTGCAAATATTTTGATTAATGCATGCATAATTTAATATATTAATTGCTGTTTTTCATTTACTTTTTAATTTTAGTCTTTGATAAGCAATCAACCGTGGATAAAGCAGAAGGGAAAAAAATGCGCTCTTCCTCGAATCCAGTCTTCACCATTCAAAGGTATGATATAATCATGTAAAAAGATTTTAAAAAAATCCAATGGACAGTTGTGAAAAAAAGGGATGTTTTTACTATATGATTGATAATTAACACGGATATTATAAAGCATATACAGTATTTTTCAATAGTAAATGACTAAAAAACTGGTAAACAAATATGAAAATGTACTAAATGAAAGGTTAGACAGGGAGGGAGCAAACAATATTATTCAGAACCAAATTTGTCTTCATCTTTTTCTTATGTCCTGGACAAGATTTGCTGAAAAATGAGTATTACCAAAATTTCCAAGCCAATCTAAATACTTGTTGTGTGAAAGTAACATTAATTATTAACGGGCAAGATATATTCGATCAAGTTTGGATTTATTCGTGACTGCGTTTATGGTTCTATTAAAACAGATGGGTTAAACTGTGATTAATTAAAATCAACATAGGATTAATAACTTGACGATATGTGCGGTAAATTTCTTTTTGGAAGTATATAAAGTATATATAAGGCCAACTTTTTTCTGTCTATCATTTTAAACAAAGTTCTGGCTTTTTTTTGAAATAAAATTGCTTAAATGAATTAAAAATAAAGGTTAGAAATAAGTTGCAACTAAATAAGCAGATAGTAATTCTTCGGCTGAGTGAGTTGGATGATTGCTTCAATTCCAGTTTTTCAGTCGTGAACGTTTCTTTTTGATTGTTGCAGTTAAAAAAGTGTATAGATAAGTGCCACCCTAAATGAGATAAATAAAATTTCAAAATTTTGGATGAAATTTAATATTTAATAAATATTCTGCACATATACCTGTATTAGACTAAGAATTGAAAGTCCAAGCCATGCTCCCATGGATCCACCAAGTGCTGCTATGAATGTTGGCATTGACCATACCCAGTATTGACTCAAAGTGAGATATTCAAATGAACCCCAGTTTAAATTAATTGTCGTGAAGTCTAAAAGAAAGTTGTAATAGTGAAAAGTTTGAAAATAAGTCATCATAGTTAAATTAAAAAAAATTTTTGTATTTATTTGTTTTTTTTTTCTTTACTAGATGAATAAAATTTGTTTTAATTTTTACTTAAAATCAATCATTTTTTATTTATTTATTTCTACAACAATTTTACTAAGTAATAACTTACCACGATGAAACATTTTACCATGTTGTACATGACTCACTTCATAGGTAATTTGATCACAAGAGCGATAACACTTTCGGGTGCATTGCTGATCCGAATATGTAATATTCTTAACACTAAATTGAAATTATTTATTTCTTCTGCATTTGTAATACTTTTTTGTTTTTGCTTTTTTTCTATTTTGTTTTGTTTTTTGTTGTCTTTTAAAAAAGTTGTTTTTTTCTCTGAGTCCTTTTTGTTGCTCTTTTTTTATTTTTTGTTTTTCTGCTTCTGCTTTTTTTTTTCTTTTGTTTATTTTTCATTGTTTGTTACTAAAATTTCCAAAAAAAAAAAGATTAAAGTACAACAAAAAAAGACTCAACTAATTATTTGTTTAAAATTTGCTTGGATTTTTTATTTAGAAATTGACATCAAAAAATGGATTTGCAATTAATACAAAAAAAAGAAAAAAAAGATTCATGACTTTAAAATAAGATTATTATAAGTAAGATTATGAAAGAGAGATTTAGGATTTTAAAACAACCATGAATTATAGAATGGAGATATATCAAGTGCATTAAATTTTTTTTTAAAAAAAAGTGGCTCAAAATATTGACATTAATTCGTAAGAATTTGCTTTAATTTTAATAATTTCGGTGCTATTTTTAAGAATCCCTACTCGATTTCGCATTTTTCATAATTACAGATTGGAAATTTGTTGTATTCATTTTCATTTCTTGTAAGATAACTTAAAGTTGCTGGTGTGCATTTGCATATATCCTGAAAAATATAGGTTATATATTTTGTCGGTATAAATTCTTATCGAAATATTTGTTGAGAACTAATTTGTTGTTTGTTAGCTAAAATCAAGTTTGAACAATATGAACTTAAAATTGCCAACAAAACTTTATATTTTTAGTTAGAAAAATTTAGAAAAAAATAAAAAGACATTATTTTTACTATCTTACTAATGTTTCAAGAATTATAATTTTATTGTCACCCTGATCATTTCCATGCGACATCTTGATCGACAATCAAATTCACTTTCTTCTTTTTCTTTAACATTACGACATGCTGTACCATTCTCATCATTTTCAAGCATTACATACCTTGCTCGTACATCAACTGTCACTTCATGTCGAATACCAAGACATAACTTAAAATTAGTTCCATCTTCAAATTTGGTCAATTCAATAAAATCATTCATAAACCAAAATATATATATAAATTAGTAAATTTAGTAGGTAAATAAAAATTAAATAAATAAATCGTAAAGTAAACTTTTTAATCTATAAAAAATTTAATATATACATCATCATTAAATCCATCTCGTGCACGACCTTGACCTTCCATAAAACGTGAAAGTGAACTAGGTCGTCCATGAAAATCAACAGACATACAAGCAATATTAAAGTTTTCCAAGTTATCAGTATTGTGTGATAATAGCATTGTAAAGAAATTTCCCTGTGAATAGGTAAATTAAATTACGATATTTTGATTTTAATTTTTTTTTTGTCTAAAATTTGTTTTGAAATTTGAATGTTAAAATTTTGTACAATTATGTAGAAGAATCATAAATTTTTTTACATTATATCTGATTATTTTCATACCTAATGTTTACATTACTCTATTATTATCACTAGAGATAATTATTATTATTAACACTGCGATTTATCACAAACATAACTATTATTATAATATTTCATGTCACAAATTTTATTCCACTTTAATTTTATTATTTATTATTATTATTATTATGTTAGATTTTACTAACAAATGTTACAATTAGAAATGTTAAAATTTCTAATTTAGAATAAATAATATTCAATTTCATCGACTCAATGTATTTTTATTATCATTATTTGCATTATGTTTGTATTTTAGTTTAAGAAGATGATAAAAAAGAAATCAAACTTAAAACCTGATCTTTTATTTCGAAATAATTATCTCTATCAAACCATGGTTGAAAGCAGAATTGCATTGTTGAAATCCATGAAGTTCGAAATTTGGTCTTAATTTTAAGACTTTCATTAAATGTTGTTCGTTGAAATCGTCGTAGTGAATATTTTATAGTTTCTGAACCAACTTTTTGTGTTAATTCTTCGAATGTTACACCACGTTGCTTAATTTCATTTAACCATGTCTACAATTTGTCTATAATTACTCTGTATAATACATCAATTCTTAATCAACGATAAATTATCTTAAATTTAAGTTAAAACTTTAGTTAGTTTATTTTTTATTTATTTCGTTCCGAAATTTGGTTTTAATTTTTAGGACTTTCATTAAATATCATCCATTGAAATCATCATAGTGTCTACTTGATTTCTTTTTTTTTTTTTTTTTTTTTTTCAAGCTGAAATCTTGACTTAAATTTATGACTGCGTTTCTTTTTTTTTTTTAAAAAAAAAGAAAAAAACTTCAGTAAGAATGATTTTTTGATGCATTTCTAAATGTCCATTTTCCTCCTTTCTAAATATCTATTTCATCTTTCTAAAATATTAATTTACAGTGTTAATTTTAGTTTTGAAAATTATTTACTGCATCAAGTCAGTTATATTTACCTTTAATTCTACAGCAATTTAATATGGTTAAATCAGGAAATAACAAATGAATTTTTTTTTTTTAATTAACTTTTTAATTAACCTTAATCATCGTTCGTTTAGCTTGAAGTTTTGGATGAGTGCTAAAGAAATTAATAGATCGAGCAGATCCTTGCGCTGTTGTCTCTCGTTCCATACTATTTAGTGTTGCAATTACTTCATATGCTTCAAGAACTAACCGATAATCCCAGGCTTCTTCGAGAAATTTTTCTCGAGAATTTAATTTTTCGAGTTCTGTCTGAATAGCGAAATGAAATTAATGAAGGATCTTTGTACTCACTGATCACTTAATCAAATGCAATGTATTTGAATGATAATTATTTTTTGTAGCTGAAAACATTGTCAGCAAAAAAGTGAAAAGTTAGTTTAACTATAAGCTTTTAATTTTTTTTTATAATATGTGTTGAAATCTTGAAAGTAAAACATGATTTTTTTTTCAAAAGAAAAAAAACAAAAAATATTTTCAATAAATTAATTTGAGGTAATATGGAATTTTTTTTTTTTCAGAAAACTATTTATTTATTGATTTCTTATTTAATTCTTCTTTAAAACCTTATTAAATTACCTGTATTCTTCTATCCCATTCATCAGCCAATTCTGAATTATTAAGAGGAAGATGACTCCAAGCTTGTTGTTTTGCCATACAAAATGTAATATTAGGCATATTCATTGATTCATTAAACATTATATTCATATTTGATTGTTTCGGATATTCCATATATTCTATCACCTTAGATTTTAAATTTTATATAATATAAATTTTCTTCTCTTATTTTTACACCCCATAAATCTTCATAGGTAAGCTGTTAGATAAAATATGAGAAAATCTTTTATAATTTCTGAATATAATAAGTCTTTTATAATTTTTTATGATCCTTCAAAATTTAAATATAATAAGATGGTTTATTTAAATTAATGGAGTAGGTCTAGATAAGAAGGATACAATTTTCTCACAATTGATGTTCATGATGTTTGATTTACAAAATTTTGTATAAGTATTAGAATATTGTGTAATTATATTGATATTTTTTAAAATATAATTAAAATGAAAGAGAACCAGCAGAGTAATATCTCGAATAGTCATCACAGCCAGAAAGGTGACAATAAACCAAAGACCCCATCGTCTCATTCGTTCACCCAGAAAGCATTCTTTCCAACTGATTCCTTCATTTATTGTCATTTTTGCTATTTTTTGATCCTGTGAACTAACAACAAAATTTCTAATTACAATAATAATTTATCAAAAATTTTAATAGTTACATCAGAAAAAAAAATGAATAGTTATTAAAATTTCATAAATACATAATAATATTTAAAGAAATTGAAATCTTTTAAAAGTTCTATTTATCCTATAGGATAACATTTGAACTTTCTAGGAAAAATTTTTTTAGGAAAAACATCTATATTAATAAATTTAATTTTGATGATATATATTCTATTAAAAATTTGTATATGACTGAATTTATAATTATTATTATTATTGTTAATGCTAATATTATTATTATCATTAGTTATTATTATAGGAATAGGATTAAGTTGAATGTTTTGTAGCTTAAATTTTTGCTAGAATTAAACTTACGTTTGGCTTATTTTATATCGTAATTCATCGTATACTTGTCGAAGAAGTTCAATATCACTTAAATGTCGATTTTCTTCTTCGTCATGTTCCTCCTCACTTTCATTATTTAAAAGACGACTTCGAATAGAAATTGTTGGATTCTTTAGATGCAGTGAGTTAAAATCAAAATTAATTTGTTTTCTTATATTTTCTGATTGCATTTGTGAATTCATCTGTGCAGGCATTATTATTTGAGATGTTAGTGATGTTTGAGTTTCTGCAGTTTTTGATTCCTTCAATGCTGACTGATAATAATGATAAGAGCAGTTAAGTTGTGAATTATTCATTTCATTCATATTCTCATCTGAATTTTGACTATCTAATAATGGACAAGCAATAGTAGATGGTGTATCTGTTATTATTGTAGTTGAAGTAGAATATTTATTGTTTATCAGTGGTGATAGTTTGTAGTTTGAATTTTGTAAATTTTGTGGGTAATGATGTATGCCTGAAGATTTGAAATTTATCATTATTTTATTCTCTGAGTTAATAGTAGTATCATAGGCATACTGATTGCCATTTATTTCCATTTTGATGCAATTCTTGTTGATATCATCCTGAAATGAATTTAAAAAATTTGAATCAAAGAGAGGAGAAATAGTATATTTAGAGTTCGAAGATTTCTTTCATTTCTATCTTCTTATTTAATAATAATTGTTCAAGAATTTTATAATTTATAATTATTCTTGAATTTTCTTTTCTACAATTTTATTAATTGTTATTGGCACACATTTCACATAAATATATGTGTGATACTTCTTAAAAAGTAAACAATTATTGCGGAATAGGACTTAAGCAAGTAACACTTATTTTTCCTAATTCAACAGATATTTTTTGTCGAAAGTTTTCACTTTAAATTTCGAGAATAAATGAAATACTACTTAATAGAATGTAAAAATGGCAAAGAAGAAAGAGAAATGAAAAAAAAAATGGAAAAAATAAAAGTGATTTTATATTACTATTAATAGCCTATATTATAAAGGTCAATTAATTAGGTTAAATGATAGTTTCGAATTTTTGACCTTAAAAATGAAATAAGTTTTAAGAGTTGATAAATAATTTTCTCAATATACCTTTTCTGTAGGATTAGTCAGTTTATTTATTATCAATTTTTTTTTGGATAACAAATCTGCTAAGAATTATGGTGCTGATAACCAGGAAAATATGGCAAGATGCATTTGTATAACAAAATTAAATTTCAGTTTACCTTTAGAGATTATTTTCAATACAAAAAGTGACAGTGATTTTTTGAGAAAACTTTTAAATGTAAGCATGTATACCAATGGGAAGAAGTGTAGATGAAATGAAATTTATAAATTTTTTTCAAATGCTTTGATTAGATATGATAACGAAAATGATAGTGACAGTGATAATAAGAAAAAACAATTTGATTAAATAATTTTCATTTTTTTAATTCTAGATAGAGTGATATAAATGGTTCAGTATATTATTGGGTCATACAGAAATCTACAAAGAATAAAGAATTGGTCAAAATTTTGATTTTTTTTTTTTGAAGGGGGACAAATGTTGTTAAATAATTGATTAATTAATTCAGTAATAGATATTATCTAAGGGTTTTGTTAAGAATATTAGTAAGACACTGAAAATTGAAGAAGCAAATATCTCTTTTTCATCTTTGCTAGCAAAATGGCAATGATAGAGTTATGATGTATGACATTTACTATTGTAACTTATGGAATATGAAATATTTTTGAAAAAAAAAATTTTTTTTGAAAATGTATTTTGAAATAAAATTCCAAAAGAATTAGAAATAGTTTTTTCATCGTTTTGTTGGTGAGTAATTTTTTTTTTTTTGTAAATAAAAAATAAAAATTGAAAAGATTGTTTATATATGATGTAGAAGGAAATGATACTAAAAAAGAAACATATTTGCACTTTTTGATTTTCTTCTATGTGCAGTTTCTTTTTCTCTTTTTTTTTTTGTTTTGGTTTATTTTTAACAAATTTAACTTTAATAATTGTGTTGTAATAAAACTAAACAAAATTATAATGAAAGAAAAATCAAAAGAAGGGAAATTACTATTTATTATGAAAATTATAGAGGTATTACTTTCATGATTGTGATTACTTCTATTTCTCAAATTTTTTACTAATAATTTACTAATGATCTAATGCTATTAAAAACAAAAAAATGAAAGGAGCAATTTACTATAGGTTATAATTTACTGAAATCTTCTAGTCTTCTTTTCTTTTTTCCTGCTTGCCTATATCATTCCAAAGTTTCCTTTTTTTCTTTTTTTTTTTTTTTTTTTGAATTTTTTAAAAATCGACAAGCAAAATTTAAATGGCATAATAGGAAGACGAAGACAGAGTGGCAAAGAAGAGGAGAGAGAGAGTCATTTTTGTATATAATTTAATAGTCAAAACATCTGTTTAAAATTATTCTTTTCACATAGGTCACCATTTTCATTCTATTTTCCGGAACAAGAAGTTATTTTTGCACATTTTAACTAATGATTGAACTTATGCTAATCTTATGCCGGAAGTATTCAGTTTCAGAAATTACTTTTCTGTCTATTTCTTTTCTTTTCTTTTTTTATTCACTGTCGAGAATTTTTATAATTGAATGTCGAGAATGTAATTTATTATAGAGAATAAAACCACATGTAAATTTAACATTTCGCATTGTAAAGGTTAAGAAGAAATATTTTGTTATGAATGTAGGATTTGTTTTTTCAGGTAATTTTAAATTTAAAAAAAAAAAATGTAATTTATTATCGGGAATAAATCACATGGAAATTTAATATTTTTAATTTTAAATGTTAGGAAGAAATATTTTCTTCCGAGTGGAAGATTTATTTTTTCCAGGCAATTTTAAATTTAAAAGAAGTAATTACAAAATAGGTTTGTATGAAATATTTTTGGAAAGATGGTCAATTATAAGTTTTTATTTAAAATCTTTTGAATATATTAACCCGAACAATGTATGTAAGCAATGCGTTATATTGAAAATAATTCTTAATGCAAGAAATATTCATATTTTTTATTTTTAAATTAATAAATAAAAATACAATAGTTTTAGATGAAGAAAAATAATGAATAATAGATGGCTGCGTTGCGAGCTGATCTTTCAAACTATTAGTAATCACATTTATATTTAGTATTATTGATAACATTGTTAATATTAATATTTTAACCAACAGAAAAATTACTCTCAACTAAATATATTTTATATTCTACTCGTCTAGGATTAATTCATCCTAAAAAAATTTGAAATTTGTGTGAATTTGAATTTGAAATTTGAAAGAGAATTAAGAGATGAAATGATAATGTTTTATCTTTTATGTTTCAGTTTCACTCAGAATTTATCATCAGTATTGTTAGATCCAAAATGTTCACGAACGGAAATACAAAATTTTTTCACCAGACACTGGGGTGATTCATTTGTGCCCAAAAATCAAATATCATCTGCATTGTCATTACCGTCTATATCATTAGATCATTTCAAGAAATATCTTAAAACTATTGCTAAGGTTTGTTATGATATTTGATTTAGTTAGCATTTACTATTGTTACACAAGTGCTTTTCTTTCATTTCTATGTTTTAATCTAATTTCACTTTTTTTTTTTTTATTTTCTAATTTTCTAATTTTTTAGAAACATCATCAGTGTTTAAGAGCTAAATATGCAGGACGACATGATGAGGATACACGTGTTGATGTTGATGATGTGCCATTGGTTTGTGATGTTTAATTTTTAATATTTTTAGTATTTTCATATTTTTATTTTACAAAATTTTACAATTGAAATGTTTTTTTTTAGACGGATTTTATTATTTATTAACTAGTAAATGGTACTAAATGATCATGCTAGCATTAATAAAGTTGAACATTAATATTAGCACTCTATTTATAGCTTTATTATCTTTCATCTATGTGATACCATTTTGAAAATGTAATATATCAAGTTGAAGAATTATGTTTTCTTATAAGTTAAATAATTATTAACATAATTACATACTTTATTATTAGTTATTAATTTTGAAGATTCTATTGGATCCGCATTTTTCTCTGGCTGATTTATCTACCTTTGAAGCAATTTTCTTGGTGCCTATTCCTGGTGAAGTTGATCGTTTGCAAATGACTGATAAGGCATATACAACATTTCTGGAACGACAACCTTGCGGTAGTGGTATATCATCATCATCATCATCTATGTCAAATATTTCCGGAGATTTGAAGTCATCATCGTTACAGGTTCATTAGACTTGCTTTTTAATTAATATTTAAAAAAAAAAAAAAAAAAAAAAAAAGAAAAGAGAAATTTCACTCAGCTCCAATTTTCTAGCAAAATATAATTTCAATTTTTGCTTATTTCCAGTTCAATTTTTCATTGCTGTGATAAAATAAATAAACTTTGCATAGCAAACAATTTATTAATTTTTTTCTCTCTGTCTCTCTATTTTTTGGTTATCATTCATTTATAACTAATTTTCAGATGCATGACTCATACAAGGCAGCAAATGGTCGTTATTTTAGGCCATATGATAAGCTACAAAAATTTCTTGAATTTTATCACGATTTAGTTGATGTAAGATTAAACAATCAATTAGCGCTGAAATCTAATGCATTTTGGAAAGCAGTTATATCATGTGGAAGTTTAAGTGGTGAATTGACTGATGCTATGAAGAAAGTTGCAGTAGTAAGGTTATCTATTTAGTTATGAATAAAATAATCTCCAAAAAAAAAATTTTTTTTTCTTTAGATCAATTAGTATTAATCTATCTTTACTCTCAAGAAATTTTCATTTTCTTTAATGATATAATAATACTTTTTTTTTTTCATGATATATCTTATCATTATAAACATTTCTTTTAATCTTTCAATATTGTATTGTTTAGTTATAAATAAAATATTGAAGATTGCAATTGTAAAGAGAAATGTAATCTTTCTTATGCATTTATTGTCATAGATAACAATAACAATTCATAATTATTATTTACAATAATATGTTAGTGCTTGCTTTTTTTTTAGGCAAAATTTGAAGAAAGTGGATGAAAAGTTGTATCATCGAATGACAAAAATTGTAACTATATATAAAATACGACAACAACAGGAGAAAGTGCTGCAAAAATTGCGAGTTAGTTTGTTTTTTTTTTGTTTATTTTTTTCTCAAAATGGATGAGAATTTACAAAATCATAATTGATTGTGGTAGCACTCTTACTTCAATATCACCACAAAGTATTATTTTTCTCTGTGAAATTTTGAAAGTAGAAAAAGTTCACATTACTTTATGTTGGAAATATCTTTATTTTTCTTATCAATTTAGTTGAAAAAATTGTTCAAAAGCTTCTTGATTGCATCGTATACCTCTTTCGAATGGCTTTAATTTCTTTCAGTTTCTCAAAAATATAAAATTTCACCTGGTTTTACTAATCTTGATCAATAATGTTTTGACATTATGTAATTTCAGTATTTACTATTCAGATAGACTATTGTTAGGAAACAG